AACGATCGAGAAAAGCTTTTGAAAAACCAGTGACCCCACGGAAAACTGGCACGTTAAGACTGAGTTGTCATCGATATAGATGTTGTGGAGATGTTACTTGCTCAATTATACGAGTTGCGAAACTGTGTTTCAAAATCGGGACACATAGTTTGCCCAATTTTTCGGAAATCAGCTGACGTTTGCACCACCTGGGTACGGCAACATAAAACACAAATAATGTGTTTAATAGTGGGAGGGCAGATCAACAGGTGGCACAACAATCTGCTCACTCCCGACAGGGGAGGCCAATGACGTCTCCGGATTTCGATACATGGAGCCTATGGGGAGTTTCACAAATCATATGATTGAATAGCTCTGGTTACTCATACTCGGATTTGTCATGAAACAATGGAGTGCATGTGGACTCATATCAGGATCAGTTCTCTGGTTATCGTAGAGAATGCCAACAGAACGAGCGTATGCTTTCATCGCGGTTTTAATACTTCCCCACTTTTTGCAGTTCACCATTAGCCCCCCTTATGATGTAGCGTGACTCAGAGCGCTGCTTTCCAATCGCACAACATTGAGTGAGCAGCTAGGCGGATCTGTGCAAATTCCGATTGCGCATTAATTTTTCTTCTGTCGATAAGCAGGCTTCAGAAACAGGAAACGTCGCCATGCAATTCTGGCACGCTTGCATATTCACTCATACACCATGGTGCGTAGCACGTGTGCATAGACTGATAAAGGCTCAGCCATGCATTATACACGCTAAAAATGTGGAATTACATGCTTTTGCAAGCTACGACACGTGGGCTCCAAGTACAGATGCTCTTGACATCTTCAGTACATAAGTGACTACAATGCCGCCACTACTGTCAGCCATTGGAGAATCAGTCGAGATGCGGCGCGACCGGCTCGTTCATTTTATTCCCCCTGTTAGTACACTGTAACTACTTCCAACTCGTTCTTGTCGATTTGTAGGCTCGGCAGCACGTGATAAGTTCCTCTGATGAGTGTTACGCACGGGCACTGATATCCTTCCAAGACACCTCACCTTCCTGCTCTCAACCCCCAAATGAACACCTGATAGCTCCACATGTGTCATTTATGAGTGTTAGGCATTTGACTCACAGCAGCGGCAAGTATGTCATAATGGGGCCCGTGGTTAACAGGCAGATCGACAAAGCCAACACTGTGCAGTGCCGGCTGCAGAACGTGCCCAACAATGCTGCCTTCGATGTACACATCATGCATCGGGTTGTTGTCAAGCCTTCCTACAGAAATGGTCTTGCCAAGAAACGACCTGTGCAACTCCCAGCAAGTGTCATGAAACAATTATGACATGTGTGTAACATCGTAGTGGGAATGCTATGAAAATGCATTGCACTGCCTTAGAAATTGATGATCGAACAGTCACACTTCTTTTGCAACAAACCATTTTTTTGTACGCCTACCTCAGATCGGCAGTGGGGTTCGATGTTCCCAGCAAGCTGCTCTAATATTTGTAAATAAAAGATCACTGCCGTATCCACAAAAGTGGATACGGCAGTGATCTTTTTTTTTAGAGGCGAACCTCATAAAGACATGGATCTGTCCATACTTTGTATGTATGCACGTGATTACCTATAGTTCCACCTTTGCCAACTGCCCACTATTTCGTTCTTGCAAACATCCCACTACGCCTCATCACCGATCCACCACTTCACCGACCATAAAGCAAATACTGTTGACAAGTAGCCAATATAAAATGCAAGATGGTCGCGTACTTGTATCCAGGTGCACATTAAAAAACCATGGATTTTCCCACTGTGTGCATCCCTTGTTTGTACATGACTGCCTATAGTTCCTTCTTTGCAAACTGCCTACTACTTCGTACTTGCAAACATCCCGCTACGCCTTATCATCAATCCGCCGCTTCACCGACCATAAAACCGTTATAATGAAGGGGGAACAGAAGCGATGCATAGCTACAACTTATGAATAATTAAATTTCTTGTATAAGTACATACACTGCTTGTCAAGTCTTTGATGATGTAGTGGGCGATGCGATATTCACGGATGGTTCACGGTTTAGTGCTAAAACACTCCAGCACTTTGCCCTACTCATCCTCATTCACTCCCTGGATGTGCTGTGATTTTTTTTTTTTTCTGCAGCGTGCCATTTATGCCCACTCCTATGCCTTGTTTATTTTGAAAAAGCAACGACACACATTAGGGCGGCGGGTGCAGCGATACTTGTGGCTAAAAAAAATTTGTCGAGTACAGTAGCACAGCATTGTACAGGTCGTGCAGAAACAACGTGGTGTTGATATCTGAAGTGTTTTTATGACACGTGTGTAACATCATAGTGGGAATGCTATGAAAATGCATTGCAGTGCCTTAGAAATTGATGCTCGAACAGTCACACTTCTTTTGCAAAAACAAGTTTTTTGAACGCCTACCTCAAATCGGCAGTGGGGTTCAGTGTAAGGTTTGCAGAGGTTCGCACAGTGAGGTTCATCGTTAAACCCCTAAACTTCACTAAGAGGACATGGTTTCCTCTTCCGCTCTCATTTCTCCTCAGTCTCCTCTCCTTCACGCTCTTATCGAACATGGCGCCACCTACCAATGTCATGCGTAGCAGAGCCTTTTCATGAAGAGCTTGTCTTGCCACGCAGCATGCTGAGAGAATTTGCACTAGCCATCTATCTAATGCTCAAATTATCAACACCAGTGGCTCACGGGTGTCTTCCAATAAACAAATAAACAGCTAAGTGGACGGCGGCCATTTTAAGTTCAATTCTAATCCTCACGAAAACAGCATCTAGAAGACCCCATCATAGACGAATACAACGCAGGCTACTTTGCTGTCCAAACAAGATGGCAGCTCAGCGAACTGCTCGAAATGCTCGGATATCGCCAGTGCTGTCGTTTGCACACAAGAATACACTTCTACAGACGCTCAATGCGAGTAATGTTAAGCTTTTTGAGACTTCAACAAAAATAAGGAAAAAAAATTAACAGTTACGCTTGTTCATCTTAGCTTTCTCTTCTCGACGAGAAGTGGCACCTCGTCACGTAGAAGCCATCCGGACGTGTTCCATGTTTCAGACAACATGGACTCAATGTTGTCTTCTAAGCTGTCTGCGTAGACTGTCCACGATGCTGTTTCAGAATTGGAACACAGCCTATGAGAGCTTTGTGTAATGTCGCACAGGGTATAAAATATATGCAGAAAGCGCTCACACTTACCGTCAGTGGAAGCATCAGCTCGCGTTTATGCCGTCGATGCGGTTCGCCAATGTCAGTTTTACCGTTAAGTAAGGCACCTAAGGCTTTCGCTTAATAGTACACCAGAAGGCGTACGTAGATTAATTATCGTTGATAGGTTCAAACAGTTGTGGTTCTTTCATTAGGTGGTTAGATGCACCAACCATATTTCGCAAATGTGCCTTGTGGACATTATCTGAGATAAAAACTATATCGCTGAAAGAATGAGCTAGACAATGAATGAACTTGCGTGCTTTTTTCATGAGCGCTCCATTCACAGATTAAACCTTCAGGCAAAAGAGAACGCAAGCCTTCGTGCGAAGTGGCACGTACACGTGAAGTTCCTAAACGATAAGCACACGCAGCTACGCACGTTCGCATAGCTACCCTTGCATCGCAAGGCACCCCTGATCAGTCAATGCAAAAAAGCCAGAGGAAGCAATTAGCTCAGAAAATTATACGAGTACACAAGAAAAAGCAATGGAGAGTACAGATCTTAAAGTGAGTTTTCACACTGCAGTCTTGTTTATTACAAACAGAAGTCTCGCAATATGGTTTTCCGATCCTGCTTCTGCATGTATGCTAAGCGCACAAACCAACACCAAAAAAGCAAACCAGTCGGTGCATAATGTCAAGCAGAAAACCTTAGCATGTACTATAGTTATCAACAAACCTTCCCAAAACATCAATGAAATTAAAGGCAGAGATGGTGACGTGCAGCACAATAAACTGCGACCCGTCCACGACAATAGAGAAGTCATCGAAGTGGTGAAAGTCTCTCATTCATAGTGAGAAAATTGCGCCTCACTTCATTAAGTGGAATGGAAGATATTGGCCTGAAGTTCCGCGTTCAGATTCTATGTGACCACGCCTTTTGTCACAACTAGTTGCGCTCAATAAACTGTATCCTCTTAAAAAGCTCATCCTCTTAAAGAGCTCTCAGCCATCACTAGGCTTGTTGTGGCATCAAAAAGCGTAACAACCGCACACGCCAACCAAGAGCACCATCAATATTGGTTGAAGAGCATTTCACAGCACAACGCGCAAGGAAGGACAAGCATGTATCCACAAAACAGATATGCTGTACACCATCGAGTGCCCACTTGGAGAAAGAGATGGTAGTCGAGGGCGACCGTACAAGCAAACGAATGCTGAATGCGGTCTAGTGTGACGACATTGACCAATACGAACGCGCCTCCAGCCTCGGAGAGGAAAGAAAGGAGGTTCGTTTTTAGCAACGCACGTGGCTACTTAATGATGTTTCAGGGCTTTTACGTGCTTCAGTTCATGCGGCACGCGATGACGAAAGCAGCGAACATGTTTTCTCACTCGCCCATAACAGCGATTCAGCCTCTCTCTGAAGAAGCGCTAACCGGCGATTCTTTTACGAGAACGTTCAAGAAAGAATGGCAGATGCACCCTGTGTTGCCACAGCATCAAACATTACGTATATATATCCTTTAGAGTACAATATTGCTTTAAAAATGCGTTTCAAGAGCAATCTTGCGTACATATCTTTATCTGCTTTTTCCATTAACGCAGCAAGGCAGACAAGTTGGTAAGCCAACATATTCAGGTATTGCGGGGCACAAATGAAGAACGAACGACCCTCTGCTTTAACTATAATTTGTCTGTGCCATGCTGAACGTTTACCTGAATGTGTTCTGTATCTAATGTGCCTCTGCCATCTGCAATAGCTCATGGTCCTTGAAGTAAATGTATCAGGGAAAGGAAAGTGTCAGAAATGACAAAAAGCCAGGACACATTACCTCATTATTTGGGGAAGCTGAGCAGAGTATCCAAATGTGTCCGGAAGCCAGAACTCCTTGCACCGAGTGCCGAACTCTTTCTCGAAGAAAAGCTGTCCGTAGAGGAATTGCCGAACAAAACTCTCTCCGCTGTGTTGAAAAGAGAGAGAAACACACGTTAACAAAAATAATAAAATTTCGCTCCAAGAGATAATGGCTATGAAAAGTATTCCATATTTAGTAAGGTCATATTGTTACGTGAGGGAATGACAGAAAACGGGCTTATTTACAATATTTATAGTCCACAGTAGTACAGCCAAAAACAACCAAAATGGCGAGAGCAGGCACCACCTAGTCCTTCACTTCTTCGTCCTCTAGGTGAGCGGCACAAAACATTACCCTCCAGCGGTGATGACACCGACTCAGTGCAGCTAGAAAACGATGGTAGTGAAAGTGGTCAATATGCACGTGCATTGGGGGAGTCCAGTGTGTCACAAGGCTTCAGATGGGGAACGTGAACGATGTCAATGTGGGGTTGCGTGAATGAGGACAAAGACAATTGCTCGATTTCATACATGATGTGGGTCACTTGGCGGCTCACACAGTATGGTCCATTGTATGGGAATAGTAGCTTCTCAGAAAGCCTAATACGGCGTGCTGAAGACCACAGGAGAAAAAGAGATCCTGGAGGAAAGTGGGCGTTTCGGTGAGGGCTGTTGTATCGAGATTTTTGGCCCGCTTGCAAGTCAGTTAGCCGAACCCGGGCAAGTTCACGTGCATGGTCGGCGCGAGCTATAGCTTCTTCAGTGTATCCAGTGGATGGGTACGTTGAAGGAGGCATCATCGTGTTCATAGGCAACATTAGATTTCGGCCAAATAAAACAAAGAATGTCAAATAGCCAGCCCTCTCGTGCCCCAATATATTGCATACCTGCCAAGCTCAAGGATTCTGATTCCGGGAGATTTCCTCAGTGGGGGGGGGGGGGGGGCTGAGTTATTTGTCTCTATTTTTTTGGTACCAAATGAGGACAAACAAACAAAAAAACATTGCAAAAACAAGAAGGGGTGGGGGGTCTCAATCACAAGTGCAAATATCAGCGTTGCGGTCGCTTAGAGTGGGCGAACAAACAAAGATAGAGTTTCTCACTGAGGTGAGAGTCTCAAAAGATCAACACAACTAACAGAATATTTCCTTCAAAAATATTTCCTTCAAAACAGCTCGTGTATGTCTTACTGGGACACGCGTGAACAAACGGGACGGCGCAGCTGGCTGCCGCAAAAACACGGGTCAAGGCTTTACTCCTTACTAGATCCTTTTGACACGAACGCCAAAACGTGTCTGGCGCCTTTGTTATTGACAGTCTAGGCTGGTCTTTTGCTGTTGCCGCCACCGCCGTCATTCACCGTATATGTATACTTATCTACGTATATGAACACTCTAGGAAGGGAAAAAAAGCCACCCGCGCTCGGTGCCCAGCTCATCGCAATGCGCCGAGGCGCACTTATCTCTGACGCGTACTTTGCTCCGCGGATGGGGGGGGGGGGAGGTGTTGATGCTTGTGCACGCACGCTTATCTTTTGGTGGGGAGAATCGTGTGCCTTCGGCTTTCACTGGAACGATTGCATTAGTTGCCGGGCCCACAAAGGTATCTTCGGTCTATGTACAGGCCCTGTTTGCGAAAAGAGCGTGCTTTTAATACACAGCGAGGTATAGCGACACTTGTTAGTTTGTACTCATTCGTACCTGTGATTATGTATCGAGAATTGCTTTTTTTTTTTTAAACAGCATGTTACCTGTCGAGCGGTAAACATTGTTAGTTCGCTTTCATCTTGTGTGTATTGTTTTCGTGCGTCATTTGTGCGTGAGCAGCACGCTGCGCGTTTCGATCTGCTTGCCGTTCTCAATGTGACATTCCAAGTTGTTGCATTCATTGCTTCCCCCTTGCGGCAAAACTGTGACTTCTTTTTTACGTATTTACTGCCTTTAGTCTAGGGCTGCGTGCCCTCAGAGATCGTAGATCACTATCGCGCCGCTGGAACCGTGATGTTGTGCCCGGCTGTTGCGGCAAATGGCAGTTCCTTTTTCAATCCTCATGAGCTTTGACTGCACACACGCCTTTAAAACAAAGTTGTTTTATGTTGTCTACGATCGTATCTGCCGCGGTTTTGCCCGCAGGGTTTGTGGAAAGTAGCATTGCTCTGACTGGTTGAGTGTTGGACGCACGCACACTTTTGGAACTGTCAGTTATGTCATCGCCATACATGGTTGTGTTAAAAGCAACCACGGTTTCGTCCACAGCGGTTGTGGCAACGACAATCATGCACATTGTAGAAAAGACTGCGTGCGCCAGTCACACGCGTACTTCTGAAGCTTCGAGTACGCTGCTCTCAGCTTTCGTTCAACGATTTCCGTACTAAAGTTCGTATCAACCACCGCGATTAAGAAATGTGTTGGGAACATTCGAATGTAGGCCCAATAGACATAATAAAACTCCACTGAGAAATTTCGTGAATTCGTATCTGCTGCGGTTTCCCATCAATGAGATTCTATTGTACGTTTAGATGAATGCCTCTTAAACTCATTCATATTAAAATGGGGTAGGTTCGAAAAGCCTCGAGCGGATTGAGTTGATTTTTTGTCAAGGCAGCTGGATCACACACAAAAATTTTGATTTCCGGGAGATTTTCACGACAACCGTACAAACGGCAGAAACAGTTCAAATCTGGGAGTCTCCCAGTCAATCCGGAAGACTTGGCAGGTATGCGTATTGTAGGCAATTGTGAAAAGAGGCAACGCTGCACCACAATCTTAGTGGTCGGCAGACAAGTACAATGCCAGCATGTAAGTAATGATTCAGTTCATCCGCTCTGTTAAGCCATTTGTCTGCGGATGATAGGCCGTGGTTAGCTCATATCTGGTCGAGCAAGACATTAAATTATCATTGATGACCCGAGATAAAACTGCCTTCCACGGTCTGTCAGAAGCTGCCGCGGTGCTCCGTGCTGAAGGATGATATTGTAGAGCAAGAAGTTTGCTACGCCGGTCGGGCAACTAGTGGGAAGTGCACGAGTAATTGCTAACCATGGGCATAGTCAATGGCCACGGCGATCCATCGATTTCCCGAGACAGATGTGGGGAACGAACCAAGCGAGTCGAAGCCGGCACGATGAAACGGTTCATATGGGACGTCGAGTGATTGAATACAGTCGGCAGGTGGGAGTGTTGACTTCTTTTGACACTGATAAATATCGCACGAGGTCACGCAACGACATACTGACTTACCCAATCTTGGCCAGTAGGACTGATGGTGTGCACGATCATAGGTGCGGGAAACGCTGAGGTGCCCCGCCATTGGTGCATCATGAAGCTGGGCCAGAACAGTCGAACAAAGATGTGCCGGAGTCACAAGTAAGAGCTCAGGACCATTGGGTATCAGACTGGGACGCAGTAAAGTGCCGTCCCATAGCACAAAGAGACGAAGAAATGAATTGGGAGCTGTAGAGTTGAGGTGCCCCATAATGTTAGGAAGAGCCGGGTCATGTTGTTGCTCAGCGGAAATGTTGCGCAGGTCCATTACAGCAAGCTCAGAGGGAACGGTATCTTTAATTGAAAAGTCTGGTGGGTTGACAGGATAGCGGGACAGGCAGTCGGAGTCTTGATGCAAGTGGCCAGACTTGTAGAGAACAGTGAATGCGTACTCTTAAAGTCGTAGTGCCCAATGACCAAGATGGCCAGCCGAATCTCGAAGTGAACACAGCCAGCATAAGGTGTGGTGATCACTTACCACGGTGAAAGGTCTGCCATAAAGATTGAGATAAAATTTCCCGACAGCCCAAACAAGAGCAAAGCACTCTTTCTCGGTTATAGAATAGTTGCACCCAGCTGTGGAGACATTGATTTTGACCAAGGACAGCGCCAATACCATGACCACTGACATCGGTGTGCACTTTGATAGGCACTGAGTCATTGAAATGGGCCAACACAGAGGGTGACATGAGTCAATCGAAAAGATGAGAAAAAGCCGACTCTTGGTCAGGTTCTCAAGAAAAAGGGACATCCTTTTTTAAAAGACATGTGAGGGGCTGCGCAATGACTGCGAAATCTTTAACAAAGCGGTGAAAGTACGAGCACAGGCCGAAGAAAGAGCGAACGTCCTTGGAAGAATGTGGAATAGTAAAGTTGGTGACAGCGCGTACTTTCGCTGGATCACGTCGATACACACATCGTCAAAAAGATGGCTAAGCATGCTGATTTCTCAGCGGCTAAAGCAGCATATTGAAGAGTTGAATTGAAGACCCGCGGTGCGAAATATTTGCAAAATAGCGGAAAAGCATTGCAGGTGACTGTTGAATGTCGGGGAGAAAACGACGACATCGTCCAGGTAGCAGAGCCATATGGACCACTTGAAACTCCTCAGTAGCGAGTCTATCATGCGCTCAAATGTTGCTGGTGCATCGCGCAATCCAAAGGGCATGACTTTAAACTGGTATTGACCATCTGGTGTAATAAAGGTGGTCTTCTCTTGATAATTTTCATCAACAGCTTTTTGCCAATAGCCTGAACAAAGGTCAATAGAAGAAAAGTATCATGTGTCATGGAGGAAATAAAGGGCGTCGTCTATTTGCGGTGAAGGGTGGACGTCTTTCTTGGTAATTTTGTTGAGGTGCCGGTAGTCGACGCAGAACCACCAGGTGTTATCTTTCTTCGCAAAGTCGTGATCTTACCCTTTGCACAGTCTTGAGGACCCATCGAACCCTAATGCCTGGACATCGATACGACGTTGCGACTGCTCGCCGTCCCCCTAGACCCAGCGACGTTTTCGGTCACCTATACCCCATTGCTCCCCTTCGCCTTTCCCACGCCGTACCTCCTTGAAAAACTGACCAGTGCAGCTCCCGGAGGTGATGCTGCATTGACCTATCGACCCAGATATCCTGTGTTAACTCTGGCAACTCGACAAAACCTTTTGGACGTAGAAATAGATGGCGTGCCTGTTTCAGCGCTAATTGACACAGGTGCCCAATTATCAGTCATGAGCGCTCACCTTTCTCTTCGTCTCTGTAATGTCCTAACACCTGCCTCATCACCTGTTCGCATAGCCAATGGCTATACACCTACTGTCCTTGGAATGTGTTCTGTGCGTGTGAGC